TGGGCTGCAGCGCGGGGCGGGGGGGGGGCGGCGAGTCGAGAATCTCCCGCACTCTCCCTGTGTCCCCCAGTTCCCGGACTCACAGCACCGTTTCTGGGACAGAAGAGAAACAGCCTGGGAGTGCAGGGCACTTCTCCAAGGGGAGAATCATAGAATATCAGGGTTGGAAGGGACCTCAGGAGGTCATCTAGTCCAACCCCCTGCTCAAAGCAGGGCCAATCCCCAGACAGATTTTTGATCCAGATCCCTAAATGGCCCCCTTAAGGATTGAACTCACAACCCCGGATTGAGCAGGCCAATGCTCAAACCACTGAGCTATCCCTCCCCCGAGGGAGAGGGGGATAGCTGAGGAGAAACTCTGACTCTCCTCAGGGTTCGGGGGTTTCCTCTGTGCCCCGGTAGTTACATCTCCCTGATTCCCCCGCAGACACTCCGTTTCCTTTCCCTCCCTTCACTTACCGCACTGGCCCCGCCCCCCACGGATCTGTGCTCCCCCCCCCTCAACAGCTGACTTTACCCCTCTGAGCCTGGGGCCCGGGAACGGAGGATTTTGTCCGAGCTCACACCGGCTTCCCCTCACTGTGTGTCTGGAGCAGCGCAGTGATACCGGGCCGTGTCCTCCCGTCTCAGGCGGCTCATTGCCAGGTACAGCTCGCTCTTGGCGTTGTCTCTGGAGATGGTGAATCGCCCTTCAACCCAAGCCGCGTAACGTATGCCAGTCCCGTCGTAGTAAATGCGTGACACAAACTCCGGGCTTTTTCCGGGGCTCTGTCGGTACCAGAACATATCGTAGTTGCTGAAGGTGAAGCCGGAGCCTTTACAGGAGAGCCGGATGGACTCCCCTTCATTTCTAACAGCCCCCCCGGACTCCACCAGCTGCATCTGGGACTGGGCACCTGAGGGAGAAAACACAGTGATCATTGTTCTTACCTATGAACTGTCACTAGGGTGATAAAGGGCATCTAAGCCACAGAAAGAGACTGAGAGACAAGTTCCTAGATAATGCAGTGGAGGAAAACACAGATGGAGAGAGAATACAGTAGAGGGGAAAGTGCAGATGGAGAGAGAGAGAAAACAGTATAGGAATAATGGATGGATGAACAGCCAATGGAGGATTAGAAACACACAAATAGATAAGCTAATAATGTGCTACTAATAATGGAACATTGTATATATTTGATTGTGATGGAGTGAAAGAGACTGTGATAAGAAAGAAAGAAAGAAAGAAAGAAAGAAAGAAAGAAAGAAAGAAAAGAAAACAGGGATATAAAGATATCTGCAACTAAAATACATACTCCGAATGTATTTTTAAACATTTTTTCACCTTTCCAAGCTGCTAAAATGAACACAAACTGTACCCACACTGGCATTGCTCGCTGAGCTGCAGGGTAAATTCTCCCTGTCAGCGTAAGGAGGGTTTAGCCCTTAACTGCACAAACACAAGACTCGGCCGCTTCTGTCTATTGCAGCCTCCGAGACGCGGCTGCCGGGTTTGGAAGGGAAACGAAGTCACCCCCCTTCCCACAGCGCACCCTGCCCCTGGAGAGGGGCGGAGACTCAGGTCTGATGGTGTCAGGGCGCCCCGGGAGCAGGGCGGGTTATTGTGAGGGTCTTACACCAATCCGAAGTGTGTCAGGCGCTACAGGGGACAAGTGCAAACCCAGAGCTCTGCTCTTAGCACCTCACAGCCTAGACCCATGAGACCATAAGAACGTCCCTACTGGGTCAGACCAAAGGTCCATCTAGCCCAGTATCCTGTCTCTGGACAGTGGGGAACACCAGGTGCCCCAGAGGGAGTGAACAGAACAGGGAATCACCGAGTGATCCATCCCCTGTCGCCCATTCCCAGCTCCTGGCAATGACGCCAAGATCTCTTTCTTGAGTGGTAACAGGTAATTTAGCCCCCATCATTGTGTATGTATTATTGGGATTGTTTTCCAATGTGCATTACTTTGCATTTATCAACATTAAATTTAATCTGCCATTTTGTTGCCCAGTCACCCAGTTTTGAGAGATCCTTTTGTATCTCTTTGCAGTCTGCCTGGGCCTTAACTATCTTTAGTAATTTTGTATCATCTGCAAATTTTGCCACCTCACTGTTTGCCCCTTTTTCCAGATCATTTATGAATATGTTGAATAGGACTGGGCCCAGTACAGACCCTTGGGGGACACCACTATTCACCTCTCACCATTGTGAAAACTGACCATTTATACCTACCCTTCGTTTCCTATCTTTTAACCAGTTACCAGTTCACGAGAGGACCTTCACTCTTATCCCGTGGCAGCTTACTTTGCTTAAGAACCTTTGGTGAGGGATCTTGTCAAAGGCTTTCTGAAAATCTAAGTACACTATATCCTCTGGATCCCTTTTATCCACATGCTTGTTGACCCGCTCAAAGAATTCTAGCAGATTGGTGAGGTATGATTTCTCTTTACTAAAACCATGTTGACTGTTCCCCAACAAATTATGTTCATCTCTGTGTCTGACAAAATTGTTCTTTATTATAGTTTCAACCAGTACCCGGTACTGAAGTCTGGCTTAAAGGCCTGTAATTGCCGCAATCACCTCTGGAAACCTTTTTAAAAATTGAGAAATTCTGCAGCGCAAGCCTGAGACCCACCTGCTGCAAACCCCCGCTCCCCCCCGACCACAAACACACACACACACACACACACCTTCTCTCTGAGTCTCTCTCTCTGTCTGGCTCACACATTCACACACAGCCAGAGACATGCATCTTGTGTCACAGCCAGTTTTTCTCATCACTGTCCCTGCAACAGCCCCTGCAGGGAGTAGGGGCCATCAGGCTCAAGTAGTGAATAGGGCGAGTGTCTTCTTGTTCTCCCTGAAGCCCCCCTTTCATAGCACTGGAGGGAGGAAGGGTGGCACCAGCCTTCGGAGCGGGGGTGGTGGTCACAGTCACACAGTGGGGGAAAGGGGCAGTTGGGAGGTGACTGGCAACCAGTGGGATTGGGATTTCCTGTGTCCCCTGGGAGTCACATCTCCCTGGTGCCCCCTGCAGAGACTCATAAGAATATAAGAATGGCCAGACTGGGTCAGACCAAAGGTCCATCTAGCCCAGTGTCCTGTCTTCTGACAGTGGCCAGTGCCAGGGGTCCCAGAAGGAATGAGCAAAGCAGGGAATCATCCAGTGATCTATCCCCTGTTGCCCATTCTCAGCTTCTGGCAAACAGAGGATAGGGACACCATCCCTGACCATCCTGGCTAATAGCCATTGATGGACCTATCCTCCATGAACTTATCTAGCTCTTTTTTGAACCCGGTTATATCTTGGCCTTCACAACATCCTCTGGCAAGGAGTTCCAAAAGTTGACTGTGTATTGTGTGAAGAAATACTTCCTTTTATTTATATTAAGCCTGCTGCCTGTTATTTTCATTTGGTGACCCCCTTTTCTTGCATTATGAGAAGTAGTAAACAACACTTCCTTATCTACTTTCTCTTCACCACTCATGATTTTATAGACCTCAATCATATCTCCCCTTAGCCGTCTCTTTTCCAAGCTGAAAAGCCCCAGTCTTATTCCTCTCTCCTCATATGGAAGCCGTTCCATACCCCTAATCATTTTGTTTACCTTTTCTGAACCTTTTCCAATTCCAATATATCTTTTTTGAGATGGGACAACCACATCTGCACTCAGTATTGAAGATGCGGGCATACCACGGATTTATATAGAGGCAAGATTATATTTTCTGTCCTATTATCTAAACCTTTCTGAATGACTCCCAACATTCTGTTGGCTTTTTTGACTGCTGCAGCACATTGAGCAGATATTTTCAGAGAACTATCCACAGTGACTCCAAGATCTCTTTCTTCAGTAGTAACAGCTAATTTACCCCCATCATTGTGTATGTATTCTTCGGATTATGTTTTCCAATGTGCATTACTTTGCATTTATCAACATTAAATTTCATCTGCCATTTTGTTGCCCAGTCACCCATTTCTGAGAGATCCTTTTGGATCAGTCTGCCTGGGTCTTAACTATCTTTAGTAATTGTGTATCATCTGCAAATTTTGCCACCTCACTGTTCACCCCCTTTTCCAGATCATCTATGAATATATTGAATAGGACTGGTCCCGGTACACACACCTGGGGGGCACCACTATTTACCTCTCTCCATTGAGAAATCAGACCATTTATTCATAGCCTTTGTTTCCTGTCTTTTAACCAGTTATAGATCTGTGAGAGGACGTTCCCTCTTCCCCCATGACAGCTTACTTTGCTTATGAGACTTTGGTGAGGGGCCTTGTCAAAGGCTTTCTGAAAAATCTTAGTACACTATATCCACTGGATCCCCTTTGTCCATATGCTTGTTGACCCCTTCAAAGAATACTAGCAGATTGGTGAGGCATGATTTCCCATTACAAAAACCATGCTGACTCTTCCCCAACAAATCATGCTCATCTATTTGTCTGACAATTCTGTTCTTTACTATAGTTTCAACCAGTTTGACCAGTATTAAAGTTAGGCTTACTGATCTGTAATTGCCAGGATTACCCCTGAAGCCCTATTTAAAAATTGTTGTCACATTACCTATCCGCCAGTGATTTGGTATAGAAGTTGATTTAAATGAGAGGATACAAACCACAGTTAGTAGCCCTGAAATTTCACATTTGAGTTTCTTCATAACTCTTGGGTGATACCATCTGGTCCTGGTGACTGATTGTTGTTTATTTTATCAATTTGCTCCAAAACCTCCTCAAATGACACCTCAATCGGAGACAGTTCCTCAGATTTGTCACTCAAAAATAATGCCTCAGGTCTGGGAATCTCCCTCTGTGGTAAATGAAGGGTGTGAGGGGGTTGCACTCTTGTGTAACTCCCCAACCATTCAATTAGCTATCATATCCTCCTTAGCAGATGTACCCTAACTGCCTTACCTGTAAAGGTCAGCTCCCAGACTGCTGCATTGGGCAGCACAGTATAGGGAGGAGGTGAGCAGCCCTCAGTTGTGAAAGAACAGGTTCAGGAATATTTAGAAAAGCTGGACATGCACAGGTCCATGAGTCCAGATCTAATGCGTCTGAGGGAGTTGGCTGTTGTGATTGCAGAGCCATTGGCCATTATCTTTGAACATTTGGGGCAATTGGGAGAGGTCCCAGATGATTGAAAAAAAGCAAATATAGTGCCAATATTTAAAAAAGGGAAGAAAAGGAACCCGGGGAACTACAGACCCGTCAGCCTCACTTCAGTCCCCGGCAAAATCATGGAGCAGGTCCTCAAGGAATCCATTTTGAAGCACTTGGAGGAGAGGAAGGTGATCAGGAACAGTCAACATGGATTCACCAAGGGCAAGTCATGTCTGACCAACCTGATTGCCTTCTATGATGAGATAACTGCCTCTGTGGATATGGGGAAAGTGCTGGATGTGATATATCTTGACTTTAGCAAAGCTTCTGATATGGTCTCCCACAGTATTCTTGCCTGCAAGTTAAAAAGATATGGATTGGATGAATGGACTATAAGGTGGTGTGGCAGAGCTCTCATTTTGTCCCCACGGGTCCTGCACTTATAGGCGGTATATGCTAGCCTCAGTGGCTCACTGTGACCCTCCCCGTAGCCCTTCTCTCTCTAGGGCCAAGGTTACAGTCTACTGAGCCCTTTTCATCATAAGCCAGCAAGGAGGTTGGTGAGAGAACTCCCACAGTCTCTGTTGTCCGTAGGGGCTTGTTTTAGAACAGTTTAGCCTCCTGTCCTGACAAGGGCCTGACTTCCCCTCCCAGGAGGTGTTCCTGTGGTGGTGGGTTGGGGGGAACCTGGGCCCACCCTCTACTCTGGGTTCCGGCCCAGGGACCCTAATGGTAGCAGCTGTTGGCAGCCAACCTTTCACTGCCAGAGTTGCTACATTTCCCTGGGCCACTTCCCCACTGCTCTCCTGCTTCTCCCTTACCTTAGGGCTCCCTTATCAATAACTTGAGGGTGTCTTCATTAACCAGCCCTTCAGCCACACTGCCTTTCCTCTGGCTCCCTGGTTCTCCTCTGCCTGACTGGTGTGAGCCCTTTTTACAGTATCAGCAGGGCCCTAATTAGAGTCAGGTGGTCACATTAGCTTAATGGCCTCACCTGACTCTTTGCAGGTTAATTAGAGTCAGGTGTTCTCATTAGCCTGGAGCAGCCCCTGCTCTGGTCAGTCAGGGAACAGAAAACTGTTAATCCACTGGCCAGTATATCTGCCTTCTGCTATTCTGCTGTACCCAACTGGTCTGGGTCTATCACAGTGGATAGAAAGCTGGCTAGATTGTCAGGCTCAACAGGCTAGGTTGTCTAGTTGGCAGCCGGTATCAAGCGGCGTGCCCCAGAGGTCGGTCCTGGGGCTGGTTTTGTTCAACATGTTTATTAATTATCTGGATGATGGGATAAATTGCACCCTCATCAAGTTCGCAGATGACACTAAGCTGAGGGGAGAGATAGATACACTCGAGGGTAGGGATAAGGTCCAGAGTGACCTGGACAAATTAGAGGATTGGACCAAAATAAATCTGATGAGCTTCAACAAGGACAAGTGCAGAGTCCTGCACTTAGGAAGGAAGAATCCCATGCACTGCTACAGGCTGGGGACCGACTGGCTAAGCAGCAGTTCTGCAGAAAAGGACCTGGGGATTACAGTGGATGAGAAGCTGGATATGAGTCAGCAGTGTGCCCTCATTGCCAAGAAGGCCAATGGCATATTGGGCTGTATTAGTAGGAGCATTGCCAGCAGATCAAGGGAAGTGATTATTCCCCTCTATTCAGCACTGGTGAGGCCACACCTGGAGTATTGCATCCAATTTTGGTCCACTCACTACAGAAGGGATGTGGACAAGTTGGAGAGAGTCCAGAGGAGGGCAACAAAAATGATTAGGGGGCTGGGGCGCATGACTTAGGAGGAGAGGCTGAGGGAACTGGGGTTAATTAGTCTGCAGAAGAGAAGAGTGAGGAGGAATTTGATAGCAGCTTGAACTACCTGAAGGGGGGTTCCAAATGGTGGCAGATAACAGAACAAGAAGCAATGGTCTCAAGTTGCAGTAGGGGACATCTAGGTTGGATATTTGGAAACACTAGTTCACTAGGAGGGTGGTGAAGCACTGGAATGGGTTACCTAGGGAGGTGGTGGAATCTCCATTCTTAGAGGTTTTTAAGGCCTGGCGTGACAAAGCCCTGGCTGGGATGATTAAGTTGGTGTTGGTCCTGCTTTGAGCAGGGGGCTGGACTAGATGACCTCCTGACATCTCTTCCAACCCTAATCTTCTATGATTCTATGATTCTCTGGGGCTTCCCCCTTGGGCATGGTTTTCACATTGTGTTCTTCTCTGTCATTTTACTCATGAACATCCTGACCATCATAGGCAACAGCCTTATTGTGATCGTTGTGAGGACCAGTCACAAGCTGCACACCCCAATGTACTTTTTCCTGAGCAACCTCTCATTCCTGGAGAGCTGGTACACCACCGCCATGGTGCCCAAAATGCGAGAGACCTTTGTAGCAGTTGAATCAAAAATGTACATATACTGATGCCTTGTTCAGACTTTCTTCCATTTCTTCCTGGGCAGCACGGAGTTCTTCATCCTGGCTGTGATGTCCTTCGACCGCTATTTGGCCATATGCAAACCCTTGCTATACGCCACAGTCATGACCAGCAAGATCTGTCTCCAGCTGTCTGTGGGGCTTGTTTCGGGGGATTCCTGGATATATTATTCCAAACTCTTCTGGTCTTCCAGCTGCCCTTACGCGACTCCAACATTATCAACTATTTCTACTGTGACATTGGGCCGATCTTAAAAATAGCCTGCACTGATACCTGCCTCATTGAGTTGCTGGGATTCCTGGCTGCAATCACAGTTATTCTCAGTTCCTTGATGTTCACCGTGGTATCCTACTGCCCTCACACTGAGAGTTTTTGCAGGGCTAGAACTAGTTGTCTCTCACCGTGTCTCTTGCACAGTAATACACAGCCGTGTCTTCCGTTCTCAGGCTGCGGAGTTGCAGATACACGGTGCTGATGGAGTTATCAGTCGAGATGGTGACGCTGTCTTTCACAGAGTCGGCATAGCTAGTAGCACCATCTTCAGGGTCAATTCTTCCAAGCCAAACCAGTCCTTTCCCAGGAGTCTGCCTGATCCAGCTCATATAGTAGTCGGTGAGAGTGAAGCCTGACGTTTTACAGGATATTTTCACAGACTCGCCGGGCTTCTTAATTTCTGCCCCAGATTGGACCAGCTGAACCTCCGATTGGACACCTGTAGGGAAGGCATTTAATGAATATCGGAACACCAGATTTATCCCCATTGTTCCAGCATCCTCTGAATTCTCCATGTTCCCAAATTACCTGGATAAGCTGCCATCAAGCAAAGATACATTAAAATATGCCTCATATTTATTATCCTCTGCAGCCAAACCAAACACCGATATTCTGAGCAGTAAAAGCAGGTCACAGCCTCGCTGTTTCAATGTGGTTATTCTAGAGGGGAAAAGAGGCTGGGTTTTTAAACAGGAAACTCCCCACAGACTTTGCATAAACCCTCATCGCCTTCAGAAGCAGAGGGGGATAAAAGCAGCAAGACACTTGGGCCCAGATTCTGATCCGCCTGCTCGTGTGGGGGAGTCGCTCACCCCTCCAGTGGTGCCTCTGATAACAATGAGTCAGGCTTTTATTTTAGGCACAACCCGGAAAGGATCTGCACTAGCCCAGGGCTAACCCTAGGAGACGTTGTGCCTCAGAGATACGGTTCTGAGTCACACCTTTTCCTTTGCTCCCTTCATCTTCCCAGGGTGTAATCCAATTCCTCTTAGGCCAGTTGTGGACGGATTCTCATTGACTTCAGCGGGGTTGGCTCAGGCCTTTACTGCTGGAAATTACCGACACTAAATATCTCCCTGTCCCTAACATCAGCTACAGTAACCTTTGAGTAGGGGAGTGGAGCCAAGACTCTGCCAATCCCCAGTCCTGCTTTTCCACCTCCTCCCGGGAGAAGGAGTAAACAGCTGATTAGCCCTGTCTCATACCTCTGCACCCAGATCAGCCCACAGGAGACCTATTTTCTGTTGCCTAAATTCATCATTTCCAGGGCTAGGCTGGACCACTGGGATCATCTAGCCTGACCTCCTGTGTAACACAGGCCAAATAATTTCCTCCACTTGCTCCTGCATTCGGCCCAGTTCCTTGTCTTTGGTTAAAACACATCTTCTAGAAAGACATCCAGGTGTAACTTGACCTGAGATTTCCAAAACTCCCTTAAGGATTTGGCTTCTCAACTCCTCTGAATGGGAGCAGATCCCTTAGGAATGTTCAATATATCAGCTGTGGAGTCTGTTTATGAAAATCATGACAGGTGAGACAGTCTATACTTTTAAAGCAATATAAACTAGCAACGGCTAGCTTTAAATGACGCTAATTTTCTTTTCTTTGATGATGGACGGACTCTAAGTAAAATGTTTTCCTCACATAAAAGAACTTTGTGGGGAAACTTTAAAAGTATATTGATCTTTCTGTGACATTTCCTCAGTTTCATATTGATTGATCTTTTCATTCTTTTTCAATGCACTCAAGGAAAAACGTCTTACTTCTGAGATGTTTTAAAGGTGGAATGTTCTTCCAAGGAAAGTGATGGATTCCACATAATTACGAAAGGAATGAACAGATAAGAACAGAACAGACTAGACTAGAGTGATGTAGAGTCGATAACCCTCCACTGCCCTACAAGGGATAAGCAGTAGATATGACTTGGCAAGGCTGTGCAGATGTTCAGTCTACAATACAGGGTTTCCTCTCTACTGAGAGTTTTTGCACAGCTTTAAATAAGCTTCATCTCAGTGTGTCTCTAGCACAGTAATAC